AAATTCAGAAAACAGATTAGTGGTTGTCAGAGGCAAGGTTGGGGGACAGCAAAACGGGTGAAGGTAGTCAAAAGGCACAAACTTCCAGCTATAAAATAAATGTCCTGTGGATGTAATGTACAGCATGGTGACTACAGTTAATAATACTGTATTGTATATTTGAAAGTTGCTGAGAGTAAATCTTAGAAGTTCTCATCATAAGAAAAAAAGATTGTATCTACGCGTAGTGATGGATGTTACCTAGATGTCTTTCTTGTCGTGATCATTTCACAATATATACAAATATCAAATCATTATGTTGTACACCTGAAACTAGTATAATGTTATATGTCAACTACACCTCAATTTAAAAAAAAAAAACAGAATGCTCTGGCATATTTCGAAATGGTTCCTCTCCTCTTCCTCCTACTGAAAACATAAGGGGACTGTTCTCTGATACTCACTATGAGGACCTGGTATAGCTCCTTGAGATAAAACTCCCAAAAGAGTGTGGGGCCTCATATAACCAGTTCCCCTTGGGGTTTTATCTCCCAGACTCGTCCACGTAGAGCCTCTGGCAATTCGTCAACCACATTTTGGTTTTCCTGTCCTGGTACTGGGCCTTGCAGAGGACCGCTTGTGAAATTCTGCTCAGGGAAGTTGTGATTCTCTGTATCTGCCTGTTTGTCTCTGCTATTTGGAGGGCAACAGTTTTCCCTGTGGCCTCAGCTTTCTGACAGATCCACAAGTTGTTGATTTTTTCTGTTTGTTCAGCCTTAAAAAGCCATTGTTAGGACAAAGTGAACACTTCTGAGCTATTTACCAGAATCCAGAAGTCTTGATGTAATATATTAATTACCTCCCCCAGTTGTTTAGTCTGGGTGTTAATTTAGAGTCCAGAGTCTCTTTCTGCTCCATTGAGCTGTTCAGACGGTTCAATGATCAGCATCCTCTCCCTCTCACTAGAGGTATTGTTTTACGTAGATTTTCTGTACAAATCATTCCCTGACAGGCTGAGGACACATAGAAACCTCTAGCCCAAGCTCACTGCTCGCTCTTCCCCTCAACAGCTTCCAATCCCTGAGACCAGCACGTATATCATCTGGATCCAAATAAAGTGGATAGGATGCCTCCTGGTTCTCCTTCCAATCCACACGTATCCTTGTCCTGGCTCCTCTACTCTCTCTAATTTTTTTTTCATCACCATATCTGGCTTTGGTATCAACAATTCAGAGAAAATAGAAAAAGGGACCACACTTCATCCCTACCCCCATTTCCACCATAGGTGCTTCCATGTGCAACTTTTATTGTGAAGACAAGATCGGTTAGAGAAAGGAGAAGGGCAGGTTCTGTGCAATTCTAAAATTTGTTCTATTTCTACCATTCCGTACTGTAAGGAGTAACGTAGACTAAAGTAAGGGCTTTACTTTACTCAAAACACGTGCTCTCCTAAAATTCAGTATAAATTCCTCATCTGAATTATGGAACGACAATAATAAAAGAATTTACTTTATCTTTTGTGTCACCAGCTGTGCCATCTTCTTTCTCACAGATAGGACAAAGGCACCGGCACAAAGATCACAGGCAAGGCCACTCTGTAGAACGGTGGACATTCTTTCTACGTAAACTGATTCTGAGTGAGGATAAAAATTTCCTGACCAGCTTCCCCACCCTCAAGCTATGGATTTTAAACAATGCCAAAAGAATTTAAGGGCCACCGTGTTGAGGATCTTTGTCTAGTTTGTTCACTGATGTATCTAGAGGACCTAAAACAATGTACATTTGAGTGCTTTTATAAATATTCATAGAATGACTGAGTGAAGGGCAGAGAGGACCTTGGTTTAACATACCAAAACTTGGAGGCAGTGTTCTGGAGATACAGCTCAAAGAAGCACTCTAACAATGCAAAGTTGAAAAATCCATTTTAATGTTCATTTGATGTTTGACGGTTGACAGTTTTGACTCCCTTTCTCTTTCTGCTCAACATCTGGGCAATCTGATAAGAAAGGCTGGTGCTCCCTCCATCGGCAACAACAGGAACTTACAATCACACAAGCTGCATCTCATTCAAATGGGAACTCTCATCGCAGCCCCGCCCCCTAACCACCAAAGAACCCCAAGCTGGTAATTCCTGCCTGCCGTGTTCTTGCACCTGCTCAGGACCCTGCCCTGTCCCCCAGAAGAAGTCTCATTATGAGAATAACAGCCCTTCCATACCCTCTTAGTGCATAGTCTTCACAGCTGAACCCAATTTTGAATGGTGGGAGTGGGGATGCCCCCCATGTCAGTGGAGTGTCTACATCTTTGATGATTAGTTTTTTTATCCTAAAAAAAGAACGTTAATTCCGTAATATATGCATGTTTAAAGTAAATCCTTCAAAATAAATTTTGAGTGCTTAAATAATTGCTTCAAAAGTTTTCCAAAAGTACTTTTACTGAAATTGACACCTCAGGAAGATGAATAACATTTACGCCATGGCTTCACCTATTCCTGACATACAGTTGTTTGAGCAATGAGTGTTTTGGTTCAGAGATATAGATTCAGTCCCATTCCATTAAGTTAGAAATGAAGGAAATTGATGCAGAGAAAAGAAAGGGAAATTTTTAAGGTTACACAGTCAGCCAGAATAGAGCTCGTATGATTCCAAAATGTCAAATACTCCCAAAATCTAGTTTATTATTTTATTTTCATATATCTAACACAACATCTACTGCAATCAAGGAGTTTCTATAAGTTATTCAGAAGCATAATCAAACATAAACAGCAATTACAAATTGCTATCTTTTGGGTTTGGGGGGCTGCTTCATCTTTTTATTGTGGTTAAACTTATATGACATAAAATGTACTCTTTTAACTATTTTTAAGTGTACATTTCTGTACACTCGGCATTAAGTATATTCACATTGTCTGGCAACTATCACCATCATCCATCTCCAGAACGTTTGCATTTTCCCAAACTAAGACTCCGTACTCATCAAACACTAACTCCCTATTTCCTTCTTTCCCCAGACACTGGCGACCACCATTTTGCTTTCTGTGTCTATGTATACAAATTGCTATCCTAGGAATTAAAAATATAGAGACAAAGGGAGACTGTCGAGCAAACAGCTACAAAAAGCAGCGAGCATCTTTTTTGCCTACCTGTTGGCCATTTGTATCTGTTGCCTGGGAAAATGTCTATTCAAGCCCTCTGACCATTTTTTAATTGAATTGTTTGGTTTTTTGCTCTTGAGTTATATGAGTTCCTTATATATTCTGCATATTAATCCCTTATCAGATAGATGGTTAGCAAATATTTTCTCCCATCCCATAGGTTGCATTTTCATTTTGTGACTGCTTCTTTTGCTGTACAGAAGCTTTTTAGTTCGACGTAGTCCCACTTGCTTATTTTTTGCTTTTGTTGCTTGCTCTTTTGGTGTGATAGCCAAAAAATCATTGGTGAGACCAACGTCAAGGAGTTTCTCTCCTATATTTTCTTGTAGGAATTTTACAGTATCAGATCTTCTATTTAAGTCTTTGATCCATTTTGAGTTACTTTTTGTGAATGGTGTAAGATAGGGGTCCAACGCCTTTCTTTTGCTTGTGAATATACAGTTTTCCCAACACCATTTATTGAAAAGACTATTTTTTCCCATTGAGTATTCTTGGCTCCTTTGTCAAATATTAGTTGACGATATATGCACGGGTTTATTTCTGGGCGCTCTGTCCTGTTCCATTGGTCTATATGTGTTTTTATGCCAGAAAAAGAACTACAGACTATTCCCAAGGAGTTTTTCTTGTAACTGCAGTAATATGTCTAGAGATCTTCAGAATACTCTTCTTACAGCCCAGACTTGAATTAAAGTCTACTGGCTTGGTTGAAATAAGATGCAATGACAGACCATTGTAATTTGGCCACTGGTGAGAGAAGAGCGAGGCTAACTCTGCACTCGTGGCCATGAGTCAGACGTCAGTACTCCGTCACCCCTAATCCAGTCCCTGCACAGGGGAGGCCCCGCTGAGATTGCATAATATAGGACCTATGGAGAAGTCACCAAGAAAAAGACCAACTTTCACGGTTTATGTTGTCACGGAATTGGTTCTTGGCTTTTTGTGGCTTTACAGATTTATTTATTTATAACTAACATCATGAATATATATGAACATGTATGTAAAAATGTATACAGGGCCAGCCCTGTGGCCGAGTGGTTAAGTTTGCGTGTTCCACTTCAGTGGCCCAGGGTTTCGCCAGTTTGGATCCTGGGCGCAGACCGAGCACAGCTCATCAAGCCGTACTGAGGTGGCATCCTACATAGCAGAGCCAGAAGGACCTATAACTAGAATACAGCTATGTACTGGGGGACTTTGGGGAGAAGAAGAAAAAAAAAAAAGATTGGCAACAGATGTTAGCTCAGGTGCCAATGTTTGGAAAAAACAAATAAAAATATATACAATTTTTCTTTTTTTTTGAGGAAGATTAGACCTGAGCTAACTGCTGCCAAGCCTCCTCTTTTTGCTGAGGAAGACTGGCCCTGAACTAATATCCATGCCCATCTTCCTCTACTTTATATGTGGGACGCCTACCACAGCATGGCTTGCCAAGTAATGCCACGTCCACACCCAGGATCCAAACTGGCGAACCCGGGCTGCAGAAGCAGAATGTGCAAACTTAACCGCTGTGCCACTGGGTCAGCCCCAAAAATATATAAAATTCAACTTCAATTAATTTATTATTTAATTAATTAATTTAAGTAAATAGCTGGGTAACTTTGGCATATTATTTAATTTCTTATCCCTTAATATCTTCATCTATCTGTACTATATCGCCACGTGGCTGATTTGATTTAATGAGTTAATGTAAGTCTTAAACACAGTTCCCAGCACATAATAGGTGCCATGTAAATGTCAGCTATCATTACAATTATTACTCTGTTGAATATCACAGGTAGTACATAAAAAATCTCTGTTTATATACATCTTCTCCAGATAGGAGCTTCTGGAGGATAAGACTCATTCATTCAACAGATTTCCTGAGACATACCTTGTACCCTGAGCTGGACCAGACAGCAGGGTGACAATGATGAACAAGACGCAGATCACGTCTTCGTGATCCTGTACACGCGTTGATTAGCATGGTCTCTGGCAAACAGCAGAAGCTCAAAAGAGTGCGACCTCATCATTAAGTAGCTGAAAATATAGAAAAACAAATTATATTGAAAAGATGATTTATGCCCCTATAAGAATGTTGACAGGGGAAATGTAAAACCTTAAATATGTATACCAAGGGATCTGCTTGTCGAAAAGTAAGTCTGGTTTGCAACTAACTACAAAATGTCTTTAAAGCACCTTTGAGAAGCTGAAGCACTCTGTGTATAATGCGGATAGTGAGAATTAAAATAACAAGACTATGAAACTGACATTTATGGATCCCTAATATACATGAGGCACACTACTGAGAGCTTTTCACTAGTATTTGCTTTATAGATAAATGACCTCATTTAATCCTATTGAAGAAAAAATAAGATAGGGAATAAGACGGGGATTATCAGTACTATTTTTAAAAGAATAAAATTGAAAATCAGTAAGTTAAGTGACAGATCTGCCAGTAGGTGGCAGAGGTGTGTGTGATTCAAACCAAGATCTGCTCAGAAATGGCGCACAGGTGGTTAAAACCTTGCACTTTTTGTCATTCTACACAAACTTCCTTAGGGTACAAACTTAAAGAATTACTTGTTTAAGGGTCAAAATCAATGAGATTACATATCCGTAGAAAAAACCTGACTTGCAATTTTTTATCTGTCCTTCCCAATGAGCTGTGTCTAACGATTAATTGTTCATCACTTTTTAAATGCTTAACATGTAAAACATTTTAACTCTAATTTGAAGATCTCAGAAACTTTAGTTCAATTAACTCACAGGTTAATTTTTTTTTATGATGTTGAGTGCTGGAACAAAATACATTTGAGTAAGAGAGGAGGAAAGCAGAACGTTTAGTTACCTCTAAGAAGACCAGCTGAAGCCTTTCAGAAGTAGTACTTTTAACAGAGTAAATAGGTGTGAATTATCGTCAGCTTTTAAAACTAAGTTTCAGATTTAAGAAAATGAAGACGAGGGGAAATTTTCAGCTTCAAAGGGTGATAGGATATTTCCATGGAACAATTATTTTATTCAGTATCATAATAGGTGCAGGTATATTTCTGGCTCCTAAAGGGGTATTAAAATACTCCTCGCTCAATGTGGGGGTCTCCCTAAGTATTTGGGCTGCCTGTGCTGTCGTGTCTATGGTGGCTGCTCTGAGTCATGCAGAACTGGGGACCACTTTCCCTAGAAGTGGAGCACAGTATTATTTCCTCAAGAGATCTCTTGGACCCCTTATTTCTTTCTCCTATATCTGGGTCAATCTATTTGCTTCCCCGGCAGGAACTGCTGCACGGAGCTTGCTACTAGCAGGCTATATCATACACCCTTTCTATCCTGGATGTTCTGTTCCTGAGATGCCAAAGAAATGTTTAGCGTTGGCCATTGTATGGTGTTTGGGAATTCTGAATGCTCGAGGAGTAAAAGAAGTGACCTGGTTTCAGACTCTCAGTACCGTTGTGAAGATGGCAGTGCTCTGCTTCATCTCTCTAACTGGAATCGTGCTGTTGGTGAGGGGTAGAAAGGAGAACCTAGCTAGATTTGAGAAAGCGTTCGATGCTGAAGTTCCAGATGCCTCGCAGATTGCAGAAGCCTTCTTACAAGGATTATATGCATATTCAGGCTGGGGAGTCCTTGTTCGGATAGCAGGTAAAATTAATTTGTAAATTATAAAAACCACCACTAGGCTATAAACACATAACATTCAAGCATCTTAATTCTAAGAAAAAAAGTACTACATTGTTTTGAGATGATGTGTTTCTGTCTTAGTTTATCGGATAGGTGGAAACACAGTAAACCCTATACAAAGGTGGCTTTCCAACTTTGGAAAGCGAAATATTTTCTAGACGTTCACAATTAAAACAAGTGAATACAAAAATGGTGCAGCTTAAAGATTCCATAGTAATTCCACTTTTTTTTATTGAGCAAACATTTTAATAGTCTATTTTTCCTAATTATAACTGAGTCTTATCAGAGAAAATTTTAAATACAGAAAACATAAATTAAAATAAAGATTATTCGCATGTTCATACATGTGGGGATCACACGGCACATACACTCTAATAACTTTATTTTACTTAAAGTGCAGAGTGAGAATTCACAAATATTATTGAATCTGAATGGTTTTTAATGAGCACACAGTATTGTATCATATGAAACTTGACTGTTACTTAAACATTTTCCCATTGTTAGATCCAGAGTGGTCTCTAGTTTTTCACTTTTAAGTTTTATACTTATTGTTGCAATCAGCATCCTTCTGTTAAATCTTTGTGGATTTCTCATTGCTTTATTAGAAAAAAATCTTGAAATAAAATTACTAAGTGCAGCATATAAATATTTAGAAATGTGTTGAGAAATTGCCTTCCAGAAAGGCTCTACAAATATATCTAATAGTGTGAATTAAAATGACTACACTTGGCATTATTATACTTTTATCATTCTTTTGTCATTAGACTTGTGGGAATCAAACCTCAGTGTTATAACTCACTTTTTCTTTGATTACTAATGGGAAAAACAAGTTTTGCAATTGTTTATGACCATTTATAGTTCTTTCTTGTAAGAATACAGGCAAATATTTTTCCCAGTTTGCTTTGTTCAGAAGATTTTTAAGACTATAATTTTAATACCTGTAGTATCAAACTATCAATTTTCTTACTTGAAAAGTCTTTCCCCATTGCAAGATTTAGATAAATATACAAGTATGCTTCTTTCTCTAAATCTTTATGGTCTTACTTTTTACATTTTACTCTTTAATACACATGAATTATTTTGAGGGAGTCGTATAGTGTGAGATAATAATCTAACTTTGTATTTTCCAAATAGTTAAACACCTGTGTCAGCTTTGGGGTTGGTAATACACACTCAAATTTAATCCAGGTTTTATCTAATCTAGAGACTTAACCCAAAGAGTGAAGGGAGCAGGGACTCTACGCTAACGTCATAGAATACTGTGGCCAGGTTAACAGGCCAGTTGTTCTGATCCTTCGCTAACACGTAATTACAATTCTACAGTGTTGGCCACGAGACAGGGGCAGGCTCCCTCCAGTTCTCCTGGCCTGTGGTTCAGGGTTTCTGAGCTGTTCTCGTCTCATCCAAGAGGCTTGTGTTGCGTATCTCAGAGATACAACATCGAAACCCCAGAATTTAACGCAAATCTGTTGCTAATAGAATCAGTAATTCACCCAGCATGTGGTAATAACATTCAACAAAAATGAGCTCTTTCTGTCTGCAGAGTCATTTCCTTTTCTTATTATATATTATATTGAAACCACTTTCAAATGTTATATACTTAGTCATTTTTTATGTTATGGTTTTTTTGTGGTGTTTTTTGGCAGGAGAGCTGAAAAACCCTGGTGAGAATATCCCCAAATGTGTGATTACTGCACTCACCCTGGTGGCTCTGATCTACTTATTGGTTAACATTTCCTACCTAGCAGTCTTGACTCCAAAGGAAATCATGTCCTCAGGTACGGCTACCCAGAACCAGAGGGAAGACACTCTCTGTCCCATTCTTGTGGAGAAAGGGGGTCTCTAATATAAGGTGGATATTTCGCATACCTTAAGAGATTATGCTAAATTGGTTCATGTCTAGATTATTTATTTATTTGTTTAAAGTTAGAAGTTTGAAAGGTCAAGCAATCTTTAATTTTGAGCATATATTAAAGTCTAGCAGTAGAAATATGGAAAGCACCAAGAACTGGAAAAGGAAAAAAGGCAGAACATGATATTTTAAATTGAATAAAATAGAATCAAAAATACGAGAATATTTACCTAACCCTTAGGATGTACTCCTTAAGGACATCGTGAGTGCTTTGGGTTAATATCTGCCCCCATAAATATATGGCATACACCTTGTCTCTAGGCATATCCCCCAAATCTATAGGAGATATAGGGCTGGAGTGCTTATCTTTTCCTATTACTGGATGTATAAATCCTTCTGCAATATATTTCTATAAGTATACAATTTTAATATACCATAAAAATTATTCAGGGTCTGGCCTGGTGGCGCAGTGGTTAAGTTCGCATGCTCCACTTCAGCAGCCCAGGGATCGCTGGTTCGGATCCCAGGTGAGGACCTACACACCACTCAAGCCATGCTGTGATGGGCGTCCCACATATAAAGTAGAGGAAGATGTTAGCTCAGGGCCAGTCTTCCTTGGCAAAAAAAGAGGAGGATTGGTGGCAGATGTTAGCTCAGGGCTAATCCTCCTCAAAAAAAAGATTTATTCAGATTTTCAAAATTAATTCTACTTATAGGTAAAGAGACCACGTTTTTCCCCTAAAAATAGGCAAATTGGAAAATCCTCAATTCTCAATTGAACTTAGCAAATCTAGACAAATAAATAAATAAAGTATATATGTTTTAAATTCTACATTTCTAGTTGTCACTGGGCCTTAAAGGTAAAGAAAATCAGTAATAGGCTCTCATTATAAAGAAAAAGAATAAAAAGAAAATAAGGTTTTATACCACATCCAAGCTTGCTACTCCTTGGTTATCTCAACTCTAAAATGAGATAAGAACATATTATTCACTCGTCTCACACATTAGCAATGATAATCAAATGTGAAAATATGCATGAAGGCACTCTGGAACTCCTAAAGCAAACAAATATTCTGCTATGAAAAGTGCATGGCCTGATGAAAACAGCCATATATTTGGAATGAAGTCACCTAATTGCAAATATTGCCTTTCAGATTTGGCAGCTTTGTGCATTCGGTAAAGATTCAAGGCTCTTAGTTTCAAGTGTCATGTCAGTAAAATGGGGAGAAAAATTGTTACCCTTCATTTGCATAGGATAACTAAATAAGAGTAAGAAAAATCACTTTAGAGAATTTACAATCAAGTTATGGGACTGATAGTACTGAAATGCAAGAGACAAAAATGCTCTGCAGTGGTCCTAAATATCCAAAAGGGAGCAACATTTTTCACCTAAATTAGCCCTTTGAGGTGAGGAAATAAGACCCGTGACTTCACAGACTTGACAGAGGAGAAAAATAGCAAACAGCCACATTCATAAAAATTTTAGATAAGACATGCTTATATTAGTAGACTCAATCAGAGGCAAAGAGTGAAAACTCCACAGAACTGTCTGTGTAATACAGTAAATTCAGTAAGAAACAGACAGAGGAAGCCCACATCTTTGCTAGCTTGAGTTTGCAGTCCACTTTGGAGCTATCATCAAACCAGCCCATTTTCAATGAGGATGCCCTTGAAATTAGAGTATTAGAGAGGAGCTAGATCAACTCTTCACATCCCTGGCTGACTGGGGAACAGCACACAATTGCAGAGAAGACTAGGAGAGTCAGGCAGTAAGTAAAAACCAAGATGACTTGAAAACTGGCTGAAATTTGAATGTGTTTCTCAACACACACACACACACATCAATTGCGAGAGGATAGAAGCGTTATGGACCTGAGGTGTTTTGCACATCAACTTCTGTTCAAATAATTGACTAACCACTAAGCTGCACGGCCATGGTAGCAACCCCTAGGGATACAAATGAAAAATTAAAACTAAGAATCAAAATCTGAGCGGATATATCAGTAGCTTCACATCATGAGGGAGACAACATTTTTCAGTTGAAGTGCAGGCAACTTAAAAAAAAAAACACCCCAAAGCCCTCAAAAAATACATGAAGAAATAATGGCTTGAAAACTCCAAAAATTGTTGGAAAACATTAATAAACAGATCCAAAAAACTCTATGACCCCACAATAAACACAAAGAGAATGAAATCTAGGCATAGCAAAGCCAAACTGTGAAAGCCAAAGAAAAGAGAAAGAGAAAGCAGTAAGAGAAAAAACACTCACTACATATAGGGAACAGGCAATATAATTAACAATTGACTTATGAAAAAAGATGGAGCCCAAAAAGCAGTGGAATAACAGAAAGTGCTGAAAGGAAAAAAAACTTGTCAAACAAGAATTTGATATCCAGTGAAACTATCCTTCAGAAACGAAGGCAAAAAAACACACTACCAGATAAACAAAAACAGAGAACTCGTTGCTAGCAGACAGGCTCTGTAAAAAATATTAAAGGGAATTCTTTAGGCTGAAAGAAAGTAACCTGAATCAAGAGGAAGAAAGAGTGCCAGAAACAGTAAATATGTGCGTAGATATAAAAGACTCTGTATGTGTGCATACACATTTCTTTTTCTGTTAAATTTAAAAAAAAAAATACTTAACATTATTTAAGGCAGTAATTCTGAAACTGAAGTGTAGGCTTTATAAAATATACAGATGTAGTATATACGACAATAATGATACAAAAGAGAGGGGAAAACGAGCTATATTGGAACAAAGTTGCTATATTGTACTAGAATTAAGGAAAAAATAGCTTGAAATTGATTTTGATGAATTGAAAGGTGCATATTGTAATTATTAGAACAATCACTAAGACAATAACTCAAAAAATACAGATTAAAAAAACAACAGAGGAATTAAAATGACTTGTTAAAAATGTCTAAAGAAGGCAGTCAAGGAAGAATAGAGGAACAAAGAAGATATGACATTAAAAATAGCAAAGGACAGATGTAAATACAACAATACAGATTGTCAGGCTAGATAAAATCATCAATCGAATTATATGCTATCTAAATGAGACACACTTTAGATTCAAAACCATAATTAAGTTTAAAGTAAAAGAATGGAAAAAGATATACAAGCAAACATTAATTGTAAGAAAGCTAGAACAGTGATATTAACAAGACGAAATAACTCTAAGACAAAAAAATGACTAGAGACAAAGAAAGGCTTTTCATAATGATAAAAGGGTCAATGTATGAAGAAAATGTAACTATTACAAATATATACACACCTAATAACACAGCCAGAAAAGACATGAAGCCAAACTAAGATAACTGAAATGAGAAATAGGCAATTCAATAATTATAGTTAAAGATGTCAGTCCATCACTCAATAACTAGATAGAAAATCAGTAAGAATATAGAAGTTCTGAATAGCACTATCAATCATATTGATCTAATCAACATTTATAGAACATACCACCAAACAGAAGGAAAATACACATTTATTTCAAGCACATATGGAACATTCTCTAGGATAGACAAAATAGTAGGATATAAGACAAGTCTCAAAAAATTTAAGATTTATATCATTCAGAATATTTTTCAGGGCCGGCCTTGTGGCATAGTGGTTAAGTTCGGCGCATTCCACTTTGGTGGCCCAGGCTCATGGGTTCAGATCCTGGGCGCGGACCTACACCACTCATCAAGCTATGCTGTGGTGTCAACCCACATACAAAATAGTGGAAGATTGGCACAGATGTTAGCTCAGGGCAAGTCTTCCTCAAGCAAAAAAATAAAAAAAAGAGGAGATTGGCAATCAATGTTAGTGCAGGGCCAATCTTTCTCACCAAAAAAACACAAAATTTCTCTAACCACAATGGAATCACAATAGAAATCAACAACAGAATATAATTTGGGAAGTCCCACATATTTGAAAATTAAACAACATGCTTCTAAATAAACCATGGACCAAAGAAGGAATCACAAGACTCTTAAGAACCATGAAGAGTCTGAGATTTAACCCTAACTGTAAACTTATAAGTTAGGCTGGCATAGTTTCAGGGATGCTGGCAATGGAGACAAAGAAAATTTATTATTCATAGCAGTGGCAGTGCTAAAATATCATTTTTATTCTGGTTCCCCAAACCTCAATGCCCCTAAGATGAAGGAAAGAAGGCCAGGGGATACTTGCACATGACAGTAGAGGAATCTCAGGCTTAGGGAATTCAAATCTCTTATAATGAGCAGTAAGTATTCCTTCAAGAAGAAGGTCCTGGGAATGGCTCTGAAAGATAAAAGATTATTACTGTCCTCCTATCCTCGTATTTTCCAGAGTCTAAGATGTTCTCTCCTGGGAACCCACAATGACCACTATATGAGGACTCAGCAAACAGTGTACTCAACCAAGGGGTCCTTATTCTTACAATCTAAAACATGTCAGTCCAACAAGAGAATCCAAGTGCAAGAACTAGAATTAATTTTGAATCCCCCTTGTCCAAGCTGCCATCCAAAGGCTACACTGACCAGGCGGGCTTGGGGTTTCTGTGTGAAGAAAGGAAGAAGCATGATAACCAGTAACAATCAGAAAAGATTCCTGAGTTTTCGGAACAGGTCTATATAACTCCTTATCCCACTCTTCCTGATCATTGCCCAGGAAGCAGCCAAAAGTGAATGATCATTTTCTAGGGATGGTTATATTCAGTGACCAAACTACTTGACTAAGGTGTGTGGACCAGAAAACTTAAAGGAGGTCGAGTCAGAAATATTTCTGTGTTGATTTTTGAGGAAGCCAACAAAATACTAAACAATATCAGATGTCTTCAAATGGTAGGAAATACGTGAGAATCCATTGAATATCCTTGCCTTCAGCACTTTGTTGAGTAGTTGTCATGATAAAAACGTGCACAGTTGTTAGATTTTGAATGGTCAAACGCATAACACAGATCAGCTTCAGGGGCCACAGTGATGTGGCCAGATGAGCTAATTGAACTGGAACAGTAACACTGTAACCTGAAAAATTTGCCAACGCCTATGAGATGTCACTCCCAAGAGAGGGTCAAAAGCACAATACAGTCAATCTGCCAGGAGTGAGCAGGGGTAACATCCTGAGCAAGTAGCCTTCCTCACAGTGAGACAAATGGTCAAATTTTGGCAGAAGTCATAGTCTGGCATTTGGTGTTAGCCTCTATCTCAAAAATACAGTCTTTTTTTTTTTTTTTTATGTCCACTATATGATGGTAATTATGTTGCCATGTCTGGTAAGACGATGAATTCAGGGTATCAATCATGATGATCTGGATAGTGCTATATCAATCAACAGCTTGATTTCATTGATTCTTATCAGTGAAGGGGCTCTGTAGACAGAACTTAAGGTTATTCTCATAGCCCTGGCCAATTCTCTTGATGAACCTTGCTATAATTCTACTGATGGGTTGTTGTCAATAGCCTGGATGTTTGGTCTGTCATTTGTAAAATATAGACTGGAAGATTAAAGACACCCTTCTTTGGGGCCATGCTATGGAAAAATATCGTGGCTGCTGATTAAACCATTTGCTGGTTGGTGACTCATGTCCACTAAGTAGAATATTCTCGTCTGTGTTCAGTTCTGCATAGCTGGTGCTTAGACTGAACAGCTGTAACAACCTAGTGGACACTATAGGGTTTCAGTTTAGTCAGACCATCAGTGGACCATGTCCAGACATCTGAGGGAACTCTTGTGAATAGAGAGCCCCCATTGAACCAGCACTTATGCTTCAGTTGGCAAATAAGTATGTAGCTGACACTTTTTCACGCAAAGCCAAGATGCCACTGGGCCAAACCAGCTACATTCTTGAATATTCCATTTCCATTTGAAAAGAGAGAATTGGGCTCTTCACATTTGTTAATAGTTGAGTCTGAGTTCATTCACCTCAAAATGAGAATACTAGGCCAGTGAGTCACAAGGCCTCCAGGAATCAGGTGTTCAGTTTGACAACATTCAGTAGCAAACTAATCATTGTTTTTCAAACGGTCGCCAGAGGTTACAATACAAAAAAAAAAAAAAAAAAAATCATCAATCCCAGAGACTTCTAGGTCAAAGGAGTAATTATGGTTGTGGATCCCCAAAGGTAGGCAGTGTGCCCCAGCTTGCTGGACGGCTTCCAATATACCCTGTTGATTTGTTCTCCACTCAAAGGACAGTGATCTGTGAGTTAGTGGATACAGAAGACTAAGCAGAATGCCCAAGTGAGACACATACTATCTACAATACACAAAGAATCCATAAGATGCCAGGTCCCCTTTTAGTAGTAGGCAATCAGAGATGGTAGATTTTTTCTTGACTGCCAGAGGGATTGAGTGTCTTGAATCCACCTACATACTCCCAAGAAACTTTACTTGGCAAACAGTGCCCTGAGTCTTGTTGAGATTCATCAGCCTATTAGTGGAGGTGTGATATTACCAACTCAGGTCTGTTGACAATGAGGCTTCTGACGTGCCAACCAACAGGACATGAACTATACAGAGTATCAGAGGGCAGAGACACTCTTGTAAAATCCTGACCACCAACAGGAGGCAAATAGCAGGGGAGCTTCAGAATCCCTAAGGGAATACTGGAAAGTTTATCAAAGGCCTTGCCACATGAATGTGAATGAGTCTTGGTCTTCAGGTGCCAGTGGGATAGAAAAGTGTTAGCGGTATCCAAGACAGTTTACCAAGTGGCATTAAACTATACAATGATTCTAGTTATAGTCACAATGTGTGGAACAACTAGGGCTATAGGACCAACAATTGAATCCAGTTGGCAATAATCCCCATAAACCTCCAGCTCCCAGCAGCTTTTGTCACTGGCCCTACAGTAACAGTTGTATTGAGAAATTGCAACGTTTGCTACCCCTGTTGCCTTTAAGTCCTTCGGCAAGTTTGTGATCTTTCTTCTACTGAGATCCTACATTATTTCATAGGAGGGAGAACGAGATGGTTTGGGGAGGAACTTACACGTCCCACTAGAACTCTACATGCATCTCTCCCTGAACAGGAGAATCGTCTCTGGACTTTTTGATCACTTGTAGTACAAGCGTGTAAAACATCAATACTAATAGTACGTTCAACAGTAGAAACCACAAAAATATAGTACATTGAAAGGCCCAAAGGGCTTTATCCACCATGGAACTTCTGTGGATAGAGACTTCCTTTCCCCACTGTGAATTCTACCTAAACCCCATTAGCTGACTCTAGCCCTCACCCGACAGGACTGTGTTTGTTGATGACTTGGGAAGTTGTATCTAACGAGCCTCCACAAAGTTTCCCAGCATACTCAGGTGGGTATAGGCTTCAGGGCAGGGAGACCTCAGTCACATCCCTAACCATTTTTCTCCTCAAGATAGCTGAGGTTAAGGAAGAGGGGGATAGGGGCCATGGAGAAAGAGAGAGTATCTTTGTGCCATCAAGTAAGATAGCTTTTTTTCTCTCGGGTTAACAAAACTGCCTCCAGAAGAAACAGAATATCTAAACAGATCCAAATTAAGGAAACATATTGAATTTGCAATTGGCTCAACATCCAAGAATCAATTAATGTTTTACTATATTAATATAATAAAGGACAAAAATCACATTATAATGCTAAAAGACTCATAAAAAGCATTTGACAAAATCCAACACTCATTCATAATTTTAAAAAACACTCTCGAAAAATACAGGGGTGTAAGAAAGTTTCCTCATTTTGATAAGGCGCAGCTGCAAAAACCTCGTTACCAGCCTTTGTCTTTGCTACAACTATAATTTAAAATATTTTTAATTAATTAATTAAAAAGTTCAATGGAGTATAAATTTTACATTAGTTATACCATTAGTGGCTTTTCTAATTTTTTTTTTTTTTTTTACAGATGCTGTTGCTGTCACCTGGATGGATAAAGTAATCCCTTCTATGCAATGGGCTATTTCCATTGGTGTTTCTTCCTCAATATTTAGCTCCCTTAATTGTACTGTATTTTCATCATCAAGGGTACTGTACGTTGCAAGTCAGGAGGGTCAGCTACCATTGATCCTCTCAACTCTTAACGTCCACTCCTGTCCAGTGGTCGCTGTGCTTCAGATGACCATTCTTGCCTCCTTTATAATTATTCCCTCAGACTTAATCCTTTTAGTAAACTATGTGGGATTCATAGACTGGCTCCAACTTGGGCTAATGATGACAGGTTTACTTAAACTGAGATTCCAGGAGCCCGACCTACCCAGACCTTATAAGGTAATTTGAACCACCAAAAGAAAATATCCCCTTTATCTTTCTAAAGAGCATTTTCTACTCTTAATACCTTGTTATTATATCTAGACGTAAAATCTCCAGCCCATTATGAGACCATTTTAGGAACATTTGATCTAGAATATGAATTTTCTATTTCTTGGTCCATAAGCTTCTTGGGCCATTTTCAACTTGAAATCTCAGAAGAGAAAGTGCGAGACTGGTCCTTATTAGAAAAAGGAGAAGACCTTTAAGATCTTTTTACATTACGGCAAATACAACCAGTGAAATTTGAGCCAAAAGGGACCATATGTGGGGTACATAAGGTTTGCACTAGATCCCAGTAGAACAGACTGCCAGTGTCCAGGACCAATGATTATTTGAGTGTCCTCTTACTGGTGCATCCTCAGATTATCTTCTAGAGGCTCTAGGCTTGCCTAGGATTCCTCAGGCTCCTCAACTCAAATGCCATCAAGGTATAAGCTTCCACCATTGATGGTCAGTATAGAAGGGCTACATTCTAGACAGTTGTGAAGGAGTGTAATTTCAACCTGCTCATCTTTCAAAAGCTTACATCAGAGGCAGAATATCTGTGGAGGGTTTCCTGAGAGCTAAGATTCTGTTGATTCCTCAAACCACTAAAATCTCTCTCTTCATTAGCTATCTGAAATGCTTCATGTAAGCCCGTGGAATATATTTTTTTTCTTCTGATTGTCTACTCTACCCCATCCACCTATACTATGGATTTAACCAAAATATTATGTTTAACCAAAGAACCTCTGGCAGCTCATTCTTGTACTTCTTGCAGGGAGATTGTTAAGAGATACATTTCTACATTATGCAACAGTTTCTCTATATGTAGATCCACTGAAGAAAATTCTTTCTAATATTTGTATCAGGAATGCTTGTGTTTCTAGGCAGTTTATTTAGTTTTGTTTACAGATAACTGACCTTAGTAAGTGCCTGCCTCCCTTTTCATAGAGGCTGCTAGAACGCTTAAAGCTAAATTAGTTGTTAGCCACTAGCTTGTAAATAGGCTTAGGAAGCACACCTTGCTATATACCAGTCATTATTGTTAGGTCGATGAGTTTTTTTTTAATGAGGTAGGTTTCAGACAAACCTGATTTTGTCAATAAAGCATATTCTACCAGCAATCAAGGGGCCCCTTGTATGATGTCCCTTGTGTCAGACAAAAGGAGGTGGCAGACCATCCTCATGAAGACCTCAGCGCGCAAAGGTGCAGGCGTGAGCTAGCAGGCTGAAAGGAGAGCAACACGCTCTACGGCTGAGATCTTCAAACTTCACTGAGACAAGAACAACTTTGGGATTCCTTTCATGAATTCAGATTCCTGGAATTCACCCTTAAGAATTCTAATTCTTAGGGTGAGGACCAGAAATACACATTTCAAAATTGAAAAAAGTGAAAGATAGTGATAATCTTGCATCTGAGTCATTCAATGATTCAATAAATATGCACTAAGTGACTACTGTGTGGAAGATATTAGTCTAAACATTTTAAAGATATGTAGATGAATTGGCCATTAATAATGCCATCAACAACTTTATAGTCTAACAGGCAAGAGAAGAGAGTTACACAAAATAGAGTAATACAGGCAATAATCAATAATATTTAATTGAGCATTTATGGCTGGCAGATGCTGTGTACACGTTCTTTAATTACATACATGATTATATACACACACACACACACACACACATATATATGTATATGTTCTTTAATTGTCCAAACTACTTTGAAAGACAGACAGACATTAAGACCCATTTTAAGGGAAAAATGAAGATAGAGAAAGTGAATCCAAACCCAGTGGTCCTTTTATGCTAAAAATGTGCCAAAAAGAAATTATATATAGGTAATACATTAGGTTGTGTATAGATAATATATTAGTTTAAGGTGCAGAAAATACTAATTTTGACATTGTCTGTTTAAAGATAGAAAAGTTAGAAAACTTATAATGAAAAAATGCTTTACGCTAAGAGTATGGAATGTTTCAGAATGTCTTCATCCAAGAGATCTGAGTGAGCAAGTGGCATGGACTGACAAAAGGATCAGGGGCTCAGCAAAATGAGGAAATTATTAAGCGAAAGCCTTCAGTTCTGCTATTTCACACCCCTATCGAGATTCCCAGCAAATTACCGTCTCTTATATAAAACTGATAAATATTTTTTATCCTTTAAACCAACCTCCTCGGTATTAAACAAATATTTCTAGATAAAAATGTTTTACATTATTATTTGTAATAACCTCCAAGTTCTCTCTAATACTAATTTATTTTTGTTTTCAGGTACGTTTGCCATTTGTATTTGGAACCATCGCCATGTCTCTGTTCTTAGTTTTGACACCAATCCTCAAGTCTCCTAATATGCACTACACCTATGTTCTTCTTTTTCTCTTCAGTGGACTTTTGTTGTATTTTCCTTTTATTCACTTTAACTTGAATTGTCCGTATTTCAACAAGATAACTTGCTTTCTACAATTACTGTTGAATGTTTCACCTGGCGATGACATTGATGAATATATTTCAGCAGAAGGGACATTACAGAAAAATCAACCTGAAATTGCAGCAAAAACAGAATAAGTTATGCATGTTTGGCAAATGATTGATTTATTTTGATTTATTAAAAGTATCTTTATTTTCCAGCCAGAGTAATACTCTTTATGCATATATGTATACCTGCTACATTTGTAAAATGCAGCCAGCGCAAGATATCTAATGTCCAAACTTTCACATTGTAACTCTTTTTGTTTGTAACTGAAGCCTTATTTCCCAAATAAAGCACACTGAACCCAATCCCCCAATACTGGTCCCTCTTTTGTGCACTGACACTTCTAGGCTTATTATGTCATAGTCCACATTCTTTTTAAATTATCTACTTACTAGCAGTTTTTTTCCTAAGAGACGGTGAGTTCCTCTTGGGGAGGGATTATTCCTTATTTTTTCTTTTTTCATTTTTTATTTCATTCATTTATTTAAATTTGTATACTCACCCTCCCAAGACAGTGTGTGGATAAGAATAGACATCTTATAAAATAATGTCTAAATGCATAAATGGATGAGTGAACAAGTGAGTGAACAGTAGGTACACAGCCCTTTAGGTGACATCTCCCTTGATACCCTGCCTCAGCTTGGGTTCCTGGCAGCACCTCAGAAATATCCTGTTGTTGACTGAAGCTCTGTTTTGGCATGACTGAGGCTAGAATGCTATATAAAGATAACACCAAAGAAGAGTCTACACTAGTTCTTACCAATTACTTATTCCCTTTCACACCTCAGCTGACTTCTCTGAAATTGCCCTTATCAATATGACTCCACTACTGTCAACATAAATGGACCCATTTGTATTTATCACACTGGTCACTACTGACATGACGTCACTATTCTAAACATAATTTCAACCCACTTTCAGTGAGAGCATTGAAAGAATCAATACAAGATGAAAGTTAATCCTAGAGAAAGCAAATAGGTATCAGCAAACCTAGGCTGAGAGGGGCTGGCCCCATGGCTGAGTGGTTAAGTTTGCGAGCTCTGCTGCGGCGGCCCAGGGTTTCACTGGTTCGGATCCTGGGCGAGGACATGACACCACTCATCAGGCCACGTTGAGGCTGTGTCCCACGGGACACAACTAGAAGGACCCACCATTAAAATATACAACTGTGTACTGAGGGGATTTAGGGAGAAAAAGCAGAAATTAAAAAAAATAGATTGGCAACAGTTGTTAGCTCAGGTGCCGATCTTTAAAAAAAAAAGAAGAAAACCTAGCCTGCGAAAAACCTATGGACAATTGAGGACAAAATTGGATCTGGCACATATGCTTGGACTGGCTTGCTTCAGGAATAATACATGGAGAGTCTTGTGATTACCTAGGGAATGATTAATAAATCAGAGCCCATGTCTTCCTTTCAAATGTTGTCTCAGTGAGGTTTTTGGAAAATGAGTCTGGCAAAGAAATTCACAAATAGCAGGTATCTGAAGGGTAAATAGTCTACATTCTGTTTGAAAGTTGATTGAAATGTTCTAGCATCCAGGCCTCTGAGTTAAAATTTTGATATTTTACAATGATAACTAAGGAGTCTGGTTTGTAGACCACAAGTCAAAGGAAAACACTTCTTATGACACTTGTTGCAGGCTCAGAATAACTTCCAGGCACAAGGCTGGCAGATTACAGATGGCCTTGCAGATTCTGGACAGCCCAGGAAGACATGTTTGGCTGTGCACGGGACAGGTGGGGCTGGATGCGCCGAGAGTGCCACTCTAGGAGGGGGACATAATAGCCTGCACCTCACGTTTTTATAGAGAAGATAGGAAAGAGTAGGGATCGCTGGACTGTGAAGAAAGACTGAGCTGGGCAGTTAAGGTGTCAATCCAGTAGGCGTGAGCAAACCCAAACTAGTCCCAATACAAATGCTAGTTTAATATCCATGCTTCCCCCTGCCCGTCACCCCCAGATCTCATCGCTGATTTAAAAAAGGAGATGTGCCTTTAAAGTATCTTGAAAGGGGCATGGCCCAGGTGTGTGATATGTCCTTCCCTGATCAAAGTCTTTCATCCCATCCACAAGAAGCTGGCCCATCCTTTCCATGGAGAAGTGTCCACACAACCATCCTCAATCAGGACAAGTGAAAGCCCCCAGCCAAAGAGTAGGCAAGAAAACAAAGCCAAGATAATCATCACGACCTGAATCTCTCATTCATAGGTGATGTCCACAGTCCCATAGCACAAAGGAGGAATTCATTTACTGTGGTCCTTCTAGAATTCAGGGATAACAGTCACTAAGTACCCCATGTTGGTAAGGTTAATATTACGTGGGATTCTCCACCTTTTCAATATACATACCGGGGCATATGTCTGATGATCCTTCTAGGGGATTAATGGATAAGGCCCAGGTCCAAAGAGAAAGATCTCAAATCAAGGTATGGGGTATTCTCACTCTTGGAGTAGGATCCACATTGAGAAACAGCGACAAGGGATTTAGGAGCCAAGAATTCAAGTAGACAGACGGAGCAAGAACAAATGGCTCCAACGCTTAAAGGCAAGTCCTGCCCAAGGACCTTCTCTCAGTCTTCCATTTATCCTCGTTCTTCTAATTACTGCCCTAGCTTACAGACTCTTAACATCCCGTGAATAGATGTTCTTAAGCCTGGCGTGGTACCGGGGTTCTACTCCAGAGAATGAGACCCTAATACTGTAAAGATTTATGCATTTATAGACAAAGAGGTGAAAGCGGGAACCATCTAAACAAGCCCAAAGCCTCTGAGTTGGCAATGAAGATTCTGGTATTCCCTTTAAATTCATCCTCATTGAAGCAAATATGACATTTGCTCAGCAGAAACTTAGAGCCAGTCCTTTTGTTTCTACCACCAACCAACAATCAAGACACAACTGAACGAAAAGAATAGGTCCCACTGCCGCTTTTAGCGTTCAACCACCTGAAATTACGATCTGTGTAATTATTGTGCTACGTATTGACTGGAGACCATCGAGATGAAACCAGGCATCTGAAAGATCTAAAAGTATAATGATTGGAACAGGATGGAAGTAATTTTGCAAAAGTTCACTTTTAGACAAATAACTTTAAAGTCTGAAAGAAAAGCAGGTCAAATGATGCATATTAACTTTCCATCTTGCCACTTACTGGGAAAGGGTTTTTAGCTACTATGAGGATGCAGGATAGAGCAACGGTTTAAAGCATGAAGTTTAGAATCAAAAGACCTAGCTTTGAATCTTGGGCCCGACATGGTACGTGGACATTTGACAAGTTATGGAAGTTCTCTGAGCCTATTTACCCGTCCCTAAAATGAGAATAATAATAAGAACAATTGGAATAAAGATTAAACGAAGTAATTCCTGGAAACACCTTAGCATAGATAGGCATAAAGTATTAATATACGCCTTTATCTTTTTTTGGAGAGTCCACAGAATAAGAAAAATGCAAACATTTGACTTTTAAAGATTAGTACTCTATTGCTACCATAACTTCAAGTAGACAGGAACACCACAGTTGGACAAAACTAATTTACCTGGACCATAACACAGCATGAACAATCATTTCCCTGGTCAGTTTCCAAGCCTTGACATCTGAAGTAGGAAGAGGCTTAACAAGGTGTCACTAACTGCTAAGAATGACAGCGTTCCCGCCTGCCCAGTTCCTGAGGCAATAGTAGCAAAAACAGGAATGTATTCTCTATCTTCAATTCACCAGCGAGGAAGATCCAAATACATCCTGCTGTTACTTAAGTCCAGAGATACTTCCTGGCACCTGATGGGACCTCTAATTTATGCCTTCCCATAGCCATTAGTTCATTGCCTTCAGCAGACCCCATCCCCTTTGCCCTGGCTTTATTGAGATTCCTAGTGTAGCAATGCTAGGTATATTCGCTATTTATTACTGTGTAACAAACTACCCTCAAAATTTAGTGATTTAAAACAGGGAGTATTTATTATCTCATATTTTCTGTTGGCTATGAATTTGAGAAAGCATTAGCTGGGAGGGTCTAAATCTGAGAACATCATGATTGCAGTCAATCTGTGGGCCAGGACTACAGCCATCTGAAGGCTCAACTGAGGCTAGAAGGTCCTCTTCCAAGATGGCCTACTCACATGCTTTCAACAAGAGGCTTTACTTCCTCACCAGGTGGGTCTCCCCATAAAGCTTCCTCATGACATGGCCAATGGCTGCCCCAGAGCAAGTAATCTGAAAAAGAGAGAAAGAGAGAGAGAGACTGAGAGAATGGGAAGGGAGGGTGGATAGGAGCTTTGCTGCCTTTTATAACATAATCTTATAATTGACATATTATCTCTTCATCTGTATTCTATCGTCACACAGACCAACACTAGTAGTAGCACAATATGGGAGGCAGCTACACAAGAGTGTGAATACCGGGAGATAAGGATCGTTATGCACCATCCAGGGTTCACTACACCGCTCAAGACCCACCTGAGCCACAGTAGAATAAAGCACCCATCATTACACAACTTTGTAAGGTATAAACTAAAAGACCCTACTTGACCCCACCCCTGTTGCTTGCCCCTTCATTCACAGCCACGATGCCTACCTTTCGATTCTTGAGGACACCAGGTTGTTTTCACCTAAGAGGCTTTGCAGATGCTCTTTCTTCTGCCTGGAATCCTCCTCCCTGCCAGTCTCCGCCTCTTAAGTTCTCAGTTTAACTATCACTTCCTCTGATTCATGATCAAATTATGTCATCAGTGATGTTTATAGTAACAATGATCTTCTTAATATTTACCAAGCGTTTACTGTATGCCAGGTACAGCTCCAAGAACTTTTTATGTCCTAATACACTTAATCCTCACAACAACCCAATGAGACAGGTACTTTTATTATCTACATTTTACACATGAGCAAACAGACATGAAGAAGTAACTTGCTTAAGGCAAGAAAGCTAGGAATTGGTGGAGGATTTGAAGCATAGAGTAACCGAAGTTTCCTGAAGGAGAGGAGAGAGGAGTGGAGGAGACTGAAGAGTCAGTCAGGAAACGGGTCATGTGGACCCTCATAGACCGTGTTATGTTGATACTTTATTCTAAGGGCAACAGGAAACCACTGGAGAATTGTAAGCAGGGAGTATGATCTGAGGATTAAAGTAATATTCAAACTTTTTTTTAAATAGGAAGAATAATATGAAAAACATCATAAACACTCAACTTAAGAAATTAAACACTAGCAATATTGTTGAAGAGCCAGTGCGTACCTCCCTTCTCATTTCCCTCACTTACCCCCAGAGGGAACCCCTATCTTGAATATCACTATATTTTTTACATATGTATGTATTCATAAATAATATACGGCACTCATTTTTAATATTTTAACATTATACAGTTTCACACTATATATAGACTATACACAGTGCAACTTACAATTTTGTTCAATTTTACGTTTTTTAACTATACACATATTAACACTGAGATCTCTAGTTCATTCATAATTGACTACTTTGTGATTTTGCACTGTGTGAATTTAGTAAAATTTATATTTTCATTCCCCTATTGATAACATATACATGGCTTTAAAATTTTTGTGATGACAAATAATACATCTATGATCATTCTTGTACATTTTTCTCCATGAGGTAGGTCATAGACATAAAATGATTTAAAAAAAATAGAAAGGAAAAGGAAAAGTGACTCCAAAACTGTCATTATCTACAAACTAAATGATTATCAATATTTTAGAATTATTAAGAAAATAATTATTAAGCAATAAAGTTGAGTCTAAGATCAATTATAAACCGGTATCAAACAGTAAGAAAATGTTTAAAAGACAGAATTTACAAGTGAAAATAAACATAGCATACCTAGGCCTAAATTTAACCAAAAATAAGTAAATAAAATGACATTAAGATTTTACTATAAATACTAAATAGTTTCAGAGAATTAATTGGGGAAAGACAGTAGCTAAAGCAGGAAAATGAGTGAAAAGCTTTTTCTCATTATCTAAAGATAAATGAGAGTGGCTCAGACAAGATATTTGTAGTAGAATGGGAGACGTGATCGGATATGGATGTTTGGAAGTAGAAGCGGGAGAGCTTGGTGATGGACTGGATGTAGGGAGTGAAGAAAAGTGTTAAAGACATTTGGATGTAGTTTTGATCCATTGGGCGGGTAATAATGAAATTTACTAAGGCTTGAGATGAAGAAACCACTTGGAATGGTAACAAGAGTTCCACATTAACACATCAAGATACACCAAAATAAAATATCTGGATAGAAACACGGAGAGAGAAACAAAAGATGGAAATACAGAAAATAGAACAAACAAGTACAATATGGGCAAAGGTCTAATATGTTTCTGAGATATAATTTCACATCCATCAGATCAGCAAGAACTTTAAGCCTGACAATACTAAGTGTTGGCAAAGATGTGAAACTGGGAACTAATGAAGCAGCAGTACTGTGTGAACCAGCAATCCCACTCTTATGAACATCCTAGAGGAACTCAAACGTGTCTAAGAAGAAATTGTGAACAATGTCACTGCTGCATTGAATTTAATAGCAAAAAAATGCTCATCAAAGGCAAATAGATACATCAAACAATAGAGCACTATAAAGGCGCCTCCATTCTTCTTGCTGCCAGGCCCACATACCTTGGTCATTCTCATTCCTGTCAACCTCTCACAAGCCCACATCTAATGCATCAGCAAATTCTGTAGGGTCCACTTTCAAAATATATCAAGAATCCAATCACTTCAAATCTCCAATGCCAATATTCTTGTCCCCAAGCTTAGATACTTGCTAGTCCTCTGTACTTGGAGTGGTCCATACCCAGATCCCTTTCTTGAGTGAAGCTTTAATCTAAAAACTACAAATTGTACAAGAAATAATCCAGACAGCCAGCTACAGCATGCTAGGAACATCCTAGGATCAGGAGTCAGTAAACAGAAACACCAGGAAGACACTCATTTATCTCTAATTGCAGCAAGTCCAACTAAGGGTAAAACTTTCTGCAAGTGTCCCTGTGTTTGGAGAAAATATTACCTATTAACTGTTAACCCTTTCATTGCACACAAACACTGTCATTACCACCACCACTACCACCATTCATCAGTCATCCCTGTCTGACATATTATATATTTTTCTTTCTTGTGTGTTTACTTCTCTTCCCCTTGACTAGGATGCCAAAGTGATTCTGTCTGCCCTGACTAGAATATAAAAGGTCTTTGTCAACTTTGAGTTTTGCACACAGTAGGTGCTCAACAAATATTTCCTGAATAAAATGAACACACCAAAACAAAAACAAATCATAAGTTAATTTCTTTATACTTTATCCTGCTACAAACAAATAATAAATGAATGAATATATGAATTAGTAAAAAAAATATGTTGGATGTATTGACACCTACATAGTGGCACAAGCTGCACATGTGATTTAGAGACAGGAGAGGCCTAAATACATTTATTCAAATTGGTTTTGCTTTAAAGGTGAGGAGTCATTTTTCCTGTAGAATTCCTATATTTTTTTCTTTATCTTTGGCTCCTTTGGTGTTTAGAAGTTTGGTTATGATGTTTCTTGGCATGGATTTCTTTGGATTTATCATGTTTAGAACTCATTCACCTTCTTACATCTGTAGATTTATATCTTTTACCAAAGTCGGGAAATTTTCAACCATTGTTTCTTTGAATATTTTTTGAGAACACTCTTTTTGTCCTCTTCTCTGGAACTCTAATGACACAAATATTAGACTTTTTGTTATAGGCCCACAAAAATCACTGAGTCTCTATACTTTTTTTTTTTCCAGTTCATTTTCTCTCTACATTCCACACTGGGTAATTTCTATTGTTCTATTTTCAAGTTCACTGATTCTTTCCCTGTGTTCTCCACTCTGCTGTTGAACCCATCCATTGAGTTTTTAATTTATTATATTTTTTCAGTTCTAAAATTTCCATTTCGTTTCTCTTTATATATTTTATTTCTCTGCTGGGTCTTTCTATTTTTTCATTTCTTTTAAGTATGTTTGCACTTGCTTTTTGAAGAATTTTTACGATGGCTACTTTAAAATATTTGCCAGATAATTCCAATATCTGTGCCATCTCAGTATTGTTGTCTGCTGATTGTCTTTTTTGTTCAAGGTGAGATTTCCCAGGTCCTTGGTATGGTGAAGGATTTTCTGTTGTGTCCTGGACATTTGGATATTGTGTTATTAGACTCAAGATTTTATCCTGGAACTGGAAGCTCCTAAATATATCTATTAATAGATTGGTTTATATCTATCCACAGGAGCAATATTGATACCTAATTATAATAAAAGAATGAGTGCTTCCCCAACGAAATTTCATTATATACAACCTAACTGATACTGATAATGTCCCCCAATGATCTCTGCCTCCTGGTATTCATGTTCTAAGGTAATCCCCTCCCCTTGATTGTGGGTGGAACTTGTGACTTGTTTCTAGAGAACAGAATACAGCAAAGGGGAAAGGATGTCACTTCCAAGGTTATATTACAAGAGACTGTGACTTCTGTCCCGTTAGCACTTTCTCTCTCTGGTGGATCAAGAAAGATGCCACATTGTCACCTGCCTTATGAGGAGGCCCACATAGAAAGAACCAAGGAAGGCCTCTAGCTAATAGCTCGTGATGGACTGAGGCCCTTAGTCCAAGAGCCTGTAAGAAACTGAATCTAGCCAACAACCATGTGAGTGAGCTTGGAAGTGGATCCTTCCCCAGAGGAGCCTTGAGATGACTGCGGCTCCAGCTGATAGCTGATTGCAGCCTCATGAGAGACCCAGAGCCAAAGGACGCAGCACCCACATTCCAGCCCACAGAAACTATGAGAGAATACTGTTGTTTTAAGTCACTGACTTTTGGGGCAATTTGTTAGGTAGCAGTACACACAAGGGCAATTATTAAGCCCTGACAGGTCAGGTACTCCAATGGGTGTTTCCCACAGGTTACTTAATCAGTTCTATGGAAATGACTCTATGATCAAATGAAATTATTATCCTCATTTTACATATGAATCAGGAAATACGGATTCTAAGAAATAAGACAACTTACTAAAAATCATGCAGCTACTAAGTGGCAGATGTGGGATTCAAACCTTGGCCCACTTAAATACAAAATTTACATTTTTTACATTAAACTACAGTTCCTTTGAAATACAGTTTTTAAAATATTAGCTTAGAGTTACATAGTATCAATGCCATACCTCCAAAGGAGAGTTCTCTGCCCAAAACTTAAGTCTTCCTTTCTCAATCAGCTGTGACTAACTTGTTCAGTGGTATATGCGATTTTTCAAAGGCGGATTTATTGAGATATAATTCACATATCCTACAACTCACCCAATTAAAGTGTATGACTGGATGGCTTTTTGTATATATTACATTATTAATTTTTTTAGCTTGTGGTAAAATAGATATAGTATAAAATTTGCCATTTTGACCAACTCAGTGGCATTAATTACACTTGCAATGTCGTGCAACCATCACCAGGCATATTTGAATTTCTAAATAATTAACACATGAAACATTTTAACTGTGGCCTTAAAAAGAGTTCACAAAATCTTAGAACAATTCACAAGTTAATCATTTTTAGAACAAAGTTAAGTGCAATAATATAATGCTTATTATTGCCTTAAAGATGATGGCTAAATCAAGAAAGCACGTTACAGAAGAATCATGGGGGGAATGTATAAAAATTAGCAATCCATACACAAATATCAAATTATTTTTTCAGGACTAAAACAGAAGGAAAAAGGAAAAAGCATGCAACTCCTGAGGGTAATAGGATTCTTCCCTGGAAATATGTTATTTAGTGCCATATAGGGGCAGGAATCTTTGAGTCTCCTAAAGGGGTATTAAAATACTCCTCATTGAATGTAGCTGTCTCCCTGAGCATTTGGGCTGCTGGTGCCATAGTGACTGTCATCGCCACTCTCAGTCATGCAGGGCTGGGGACGACCTTCCAGGAGTGGAGAGCCCTGTTATTTCCTCAAAAGGTCTCTGTTTCTTTCTTCAGTCTTTGGATCAAACTTTCTGTTTATCCCTTAGGAATAGCTACTCAGACCTTGTTACTGTCTACCTATATAATTCAGCCTTTCTATGCCAGGTGCCCAGATCCACAGCTACCAAAAAGACGTCCAGCTTCAGCTACTTTCTGGTTGTTTGGACTTCTGAATACTCGAGGGGTGCTAACCATGGCTTGGTTTCAAACTCTCAGTACTTTGGCGAGGATGACTGTCCTCTGCCTAATTTCCCTAACTGGGATCGAGCTGTTGGGACTGGGAAAAAGGAGAATGCGGCCAGGTTTGAGAATGCCTTTGACGCTGAACTTGCTGGTGCCTCGCAGACTGCAGAAGCCTTACTTACGCCAAGGATTGTTTTCACATTCTGGCACGTCAGTCCTGACCAACATAGCAGGTAAATCCATTTCTGAAATACTTTACAGCAGGCCTCAAGTTTTTTCTACAGCTCTATAGGGAAAGATATCTCTGATTAGTTTATTTGGGGGGGCGGATTTAATTAATTTAATCTGCTCTGCACCACGTAGAGGGAGGGCTGTCTAGTCATCACTGAGCCTCAACATATAATCATTTATATAGAATGTGCAGAATTTAGTGTTGTTCAGGTCATGTCTCTTATACAAAACTTGGTAATTTTATGAAATTTTCAAAAGAAAATTAAGACCACTCTCCTATTTTACTATATTGTATCATAACACTTTTTCAAGATAAATTGAATTTCAATTACATAAGAAATGCATTAATACAACCTATTTGTAAAAAGCAAAGCTATCACAGATTATATTATTTATTATAAATATATGTCTCCTATCAGCATTAGTAAAATGCCATGTCCTCATTTTGATTTCATAATACTTCTTAGAGATCTTTCTGTTAGAACTTAGTGATCTAACACATTCTTTCACCTGCTGCATAATATTCTTTAGTATGGCTTCACTACGTTTCCACATTAGTGGGTATTTAAAGGGCTTCCCATTCTTCGCAATCACAAGTAGTGGTATAATGTCTTAGCTTCCTGGGGCACACGTACTGCTGTTCCTGTAGGGCAATGCTTCCCCTCCCATGTCACGGCACCAAGAGAATTTGGTAATAGCTGCACAGCACGCTCGAGTAAACAAAAGAATTACATAGAAAACACTTCACTATATTTCATTTGCATTATAAAATTATAAAAATATAAAATATTAAGGAATATATTTAACATTGAAGTTCTATAAAACTTCCAAACAAATCTTTGCAAAATTTTCATGAGAAACCTGAGCTTACTCCCCTAGATGTAACACTACTATAGATTTTACGCTTGAAACACTATAATATTTTATCAAAACTTTTAATAATAATTTCTTGAAATCCTTGATTCTTGAATTATTGAAATTTTTTATGTTCCTGGTCAATAAGACACTTTGCTCACTCATGCCAATTATTAAAAATCCACAACTGACAGGACTTTTAACCGATAATGACGTTTTTCAATTGACAAATGTAATATTAAAATTTCTTGCAATAAAATTAATGAATTTTTAATCCAATATCAAGGTTTCCCAAATAATAATGCTTTAATTTACCTAGCACACATGAATTGTTACAGCAGTCACCTGGAAGCTAGCTTGGACATTAAAAAGGCACATGAGTTGGGGCTGGCCCCGTGGCCGAGTGGTTAAGTTTGCGCGCTCCGCTGCAGGCGGCCCAGTGTTTCGTTGGTTCGAATCCTGGGAGCGGACATGGCACTGCTCATCAAACCACGGCGAGGCAGCATCCCACATGCCACAACAAGAAGGACCCACAACAAAGAATATACAACTATGTACCGGGGGGCTTTGGGAAGGAAAAAGAAAAAAATAAAATCTTTAAAAAAAAAAAGGCACATAAGTCAAAAATGAAAACATTGAAGACACATGAAGGCAGAGTTTCAGGGTCACTGCCTGGAACTGCATCCTCCAGGCACTACCTTGTCTCCTCACACTCCCAGCCACGTTGCGTTAGGAGCCATGGTCCTGGGACACCTGAATCAGATTTCCTCCAGCAGCTTCCCAGGGCCCTTTCCTGTAGTGAGTACAGGTGGGTTCTGCAAAAGTCAATGCCCAGAGGTTGGCGCACCTCTTAGCTAACGTAAAGCAGCTCACTAGAGCAAGCACCGGTGTTCCTCACCATGATCATCACCTGAAGACACGGCACAAAAAACCTTCAGACCCAATTTTGCTTGAGTCTCATTCTCATTCTCATTCTCCTCCTACTCCCTGGTTTGATTCATTATCAAACAAGTCAAACCTTGAATTAGGGATGAGCAAGCCATAAAGGGCACTGATAGCAAAATGTGAATGACTGCAGATCGAGATGGCTGTGTTTGAAAGGTCCAGTGAGATTTTTCTGGATCTGCAGACTATTAGAGCAGAAGGTCGAGTGAGATGAGTGCAGCAATGCTGTCAGACTGTGTGGCCAATTGAATGGGGCTGACTCTCCTAATCAAGAGCTGACAAATCTACAACACCAGATTTGGAGATCTGGCTTCCGTCATGTCAAAACGGAGGGACCCTGGCTAGAAAGAACTATCACCCTCAAGTTTGGTCCTTACAGTTTCTGAGCTGTCATATTCCTGACCAAGCGTAAACAGTGTAGCCCGCTTATGTCTAGATTCTTATTCCAGGGCCACCTGAAGGGACAACATTGAATCCCAAGCACCACTATACATCCTTTATCTTTACCTCTGAAATAAGGAATTACATTGGGTTGCAAAGCCTTCAGGGATGTCTTAGTAGCAGGCCTGACAACAGTCAAAGGAGTCTCTAGCGATGTGGACAACTGTCAGGACTGGAGTTCTAGCCACTCAACAGCAAAGGGACAAAAGATCTCTGCTTCCATAACATGACTTGGGGGACTCTTGCAAGGGCCCATCAGACAAGACACCATGCATGCATGCAGTTTAGAAAATCAGGACTACTTGAAGCACATTAATATGGGGAGTAAGTTAAAGAGACCCTCAGATTTCATAATCTGCCCAGAATTCTCATTGTTAGTGAAGGAAATTTAGGAGTAGAAATAGATAGGTGCAATACTGGCTGACCCTTAGAGGTGCATTAATCATGGCGCCACCAGCTGAGATTTACATCCGCTCCTGAGCCAAAGATCTAAAAAACAAGGTCTGGGGGAACTTGAAAGGCCAGTTCCCCAGCTCTGTGCACAAGGCTGCCCAGAAAAGCGGTGACCTCTGTCTGGCCTGAGCAACACTGTGATTTGCTTCCCATTAGAGGGACTCTTCAGAGGCAGCATACACGGGACCACTTGGAAACCCTCCTCCTGACACCTGGGAGGTTGCAATATCTGTCAGTTTCAGCGGGGAAGGGGGACTTCTTGGGGTCTGGTGAGCCTGAAGCTCCCACTCTCTTGTGTAAGTTGCTGCAAGATGTAAATCTATGAAAGACTCTACCCTTAAGAAATCCGCCCTAGTCCTCCAGAAACTAAAGCTGTGCGCCTATGGGAGAAAAAAGGCTCATCAGAGAAAACGTTCCCCTCCGTTTATGGGAGACCCAAGTAGGAGAATCTAAGAGGGCAGGGCACCTGCCCCAGGCTGCTCCTCTCCTGCGTGTGGAGACCAGAGGCCCTGGTCTTAGTCTGCACTGAAGACAGGAATGTGGCAGGAAACACAAGCTAAGCATCCACAGCTTTCCCAGACACACTTAAAACTTGGTGATACTCCCAAGTCCTAAGGGTTTGACCGAAGCTGGGACCTGTTAGGGAGGACAAGGAATTTTCCACATTAAAAGCAACCAAATTAAAGTAAGGGACAATATTCCCAAAGAAATCTTTATAAAGGATACTGTTCATTTAACAGTGGTGGGAAAAATGTGGGATGGGGAAGAAAGCGTTGAGCTGACACCAGATAAAACTTTTTTATCTTTTACTCTTCCCTTTCTAAGAGAAAAACAATCTGGATTAGAGGTTAATGTGAGTTTTATAATGTCCCAAAGTTGGAGTTAAAATTATTAGCCAATTTACGGTATAAATTCAAAATTATAATTTTCCACAAACCATTAAGTTTAACTTATAAATGATAATATAGAGAGAACTAAAAATTTTACATAAAAATTTCTTTTTCTTATTCTTTGATAAATGGTTGATTAACAAATTGAACATATTCAATTCCACCAGAAAATAAAACCTCACCCACGGTTTATAAACAATTAATTCCCTTAAATCTTAAATGCATGTTAAAATGCATTGAATTTTTAAGACTTGAAATGTCTGTCTTGCATAACTTTTCTTATCACTTGTGTCTTGTAACTCTAAAAATTTTAAGTCTTAAATATGATGAATTTCAAATTCTCTTAAACAATTTAAATGCAGTTTTTAATCAATGTTTCCTACACTTGCAACTTAAAATCATACTTCTGAAAATTCATTGTATATTTCAAAGCTGATCTCTCAGATTATCTAAAATGCTAGTGTCTCATAAAAATTACAGACCCTTGGGGCAGGCTTGGTGGTGTAGTGGTTAAGTTCTCGGGCTCCGCTTGGGAGGCCCAGGGTCCACAGGTTCAGAACCCAGGCGCAGACCTAGCACCACTGGTCAGGCCACATTGTGGCACCATCCCATACAAAACAGAGGAAGATGGACACAGATGTTAGCTCAGTAACAATCTTCCTCAAACAAAAAGAGGAAGATTGGCAACAGATGTTAGCTCAGGGCCAATCTTCCTCACAAAATAAATAAATAAAATTTTAAAAAATTACAGACCCTCTAAGTAACTGGCACAAATTGTATAACTTAGCAGAAAATAAACAGTATCAAGGATTTTCATTTGCCTGATCGTTGTTGCCTTTGATTTTAAACATTCTCATCTTATACTGGGTTTCCTAGAAGCAGAGTCTGAGATGGGGATCCTCGTGCCAGCGTGTTACAGAGGGAGTGCTCTCCGGAGACACTGGTGAGAAGGCAAGGATGCGGGATGGGGCAGGGGAAGGAGCTGAGCAAAGATGTGGTTTCGGTTGAAGTCCAGCCTCAGCCAGATTCTACAGAGCACCCTAGGGCTGCACTGTCCAACCTGGTCACCACTGGCCACATGGGGCTAGTGAGCACTTGAAATGCAGCTCGTCAAACTGCAATGTTCTACAGGAGTAAGACGAGAAATCAAGATCTTGAATGAACGAAACCATGTCAACTAGCTCATTAATAATTTTACAAACGTTACCTATTGCAATGATAACATTTTGGATATTTGTGGGTAAACAAAATATATTATTCAATACATCTCACCTGTTTGGTTTTTTATGTAGCTACCAGAAAATTAAAAACTACACAAACAGCTCATATTATGTTTCCATTGGACAGCACTGCTAGAGTAGGAATAACACAAACTCTTCCCAACCCGAGGCAATAGGGTTGGGCTTCTGTACCCTCTGTTAGTCAGTCAATGGCTGTGGGCTGCTTCTGAGGAAAGGATATAAACTTCCAGACTTTTCCAAGCAAGGCCGCTTACCCTCCTCCCTGCCCATCCTCCCAAGGACGGAGAGTGATTCTCAGGAGAAGGGTTTGGCTGTGGGGCACTAGCAGCCGTTACTCACGGAAGCTGAGCAGGGGAGAACCCACAGTCCATGGGTCTGGGTGAGACTCCTATGCTTTCCTAAGTCATGAGGTCGTTTGCTCTCACCTGGGCCCGAGTCACTATCTAAGGGGACTGAAGTGCCAGGTGGAAGATCCGGACTTAGTGGTTGCTTGTACTTCCCAACCAGTGAGCCCCAGGCCGCCAAAGCAGAACGTGCGAACTTAACCGCTGCGCCCCTGGGCCAGCCCCAGATTATAAGTAATTTTTATTTCCTTTTTTTATACTGTTCATATTTTCCATAATTAGCACGTTGTACTTATGATCAAAGAAATACCATTTTTCTAATACCAAATAATTATATTGCCACAGAATCAAGTGATGAATTTTTATGACAACATTGAGTCTTTAAGAAAATATTAAATTATGTTCAGTTTACTTTAACAAGGCAGAGCAGTATTTGAAATGCATTAGAAAAATTCCACCAAATTTTAATTTTTTTAAAACAGTTACTCCTGAAAGAAGAGTTGTTCAGTTACCTAGAAAATTCATTTACCGAGAACAACTTAACTCTTCAAATATTCTGGATAAAGACCAAATGATACACCGGTAAAAACATAAACTACAAACATATTGTCTATACAGACAGACACAGAGGTATATGAGCCTGTAGGAGCAGAGCGTGTGTGGTTTGGGAGAGGCTGTGACTACAGCCAAGATGCCGTGGCACTTCAGCGACCAGACATCCCGCATAATGGATGTGTTTTCAAGGCCGGAGGTCACAAAGAGGATCAGCCCAGCGGCTGCACACTGAACTGAAATTCTGCTCTACCATCTGTGTTCGGAGCCTTTACAAAAATAAGAAGGTTTGAAATTTATTTTGAAAAACCTCCATTTAACATGCCTCAAAAAGTCAAAAGGTGGCTTCACGCACCTTCTCTGAAACGAGTATAAAAATGTTATGCTGAATCTAAAAGAAAAACATAAATTTTGCAAAGTAAACAAAAGCACGTTACCATTACTCCTCCCACAATTTGGTCTCAGGAATACAGAAACACACGCAAGGAGATTTTTGAAACAAAGTGAGGGAGAGAACTGTAACCTGTTTACACTCTACTTCAAACCAGTCAGCAGTTCTGTAAAAATCTGCCTCACTAACATCTCCTCAGGTACTCCCCCTCTTCATTCCCACCCGCAGGACCCAGGCCCTGGTCTTTCCCACCTGGTTTACAGCAACAACCTCCTAATCTACATGCTCACCTCTGGTCTCCTCCCTCCGATCCAGCCTCCACTCAGTTTCCAGAGATAACGCTATAAACACACATCAAATCCTGTCACTTCCGCTTAAATACTCTGTGGTCTTGTTTTCTTGCATCTCCTCCCAATCTCACTCTCACAGCTGCTGCGACCCCCACACCGTCACCCCACCACCACCTTCCTTCAGACCAAATACCAACTTCTCCGCTGACCACAGCAGGCTCTCCAAGACCTGATTCGAGCCTGACTTTCTGTCCTCACCTCTTGCCGCCTCGTGCACACACACGCCCTCACCACACACCAGCCTTTCTAAACAACTCACCGTTTCCAGAATAGACACTCCTCTCTCTGCCTCCCCAACAATGCCCCCTCACCGTCCCCAGCCTGACTTAGATGCCTGACTTGATGTCACACTAGTAAGACTGATTCCAAGTTTAATATCCTTGGAGTCCTCACAAGTGCCTTCTAAGTCCTACACAAAAGCTAGTCCTAGAAAGTTCAAAATGCACTTTAAAATCATGAAATGGAGGACAGCGAATAAGTGGACTTTGATTGCAATCATTGCTCTGTGAATTTTAACATTGTCAACATTATTACTAAGAAGCTCTCTGTATTTTAGAACAGAGATCATCTAGAGAAACAAAGCTTAATACTTTTGATCTTGTAAATAAATAATTAGAGGCAAAACTGTAGGTGTCTAAGCACTTGTGATTGAAAAAAGAAAGAAAAGAATTGAACTATTAATTCAATTTGATTATCTCTACAGATTATCACTGAAAAAGACCATCACATCATAAGTAGTAAGATAGTGCAATTCTATCATATAATTTTGAACTCCACTTTAATGATAATCATTTTGGAGAAATTTTGCAGCACACTTCATACCCTTGTGACATGGTTTCTTACATTTCTAATGTCAGTTATTTGTCTTAGTTAAGCGTATAATACTCATCCCCCACTGAAAATCTTTTCTATTTTCACTCAATCATAGTATTCGTGACTGTATCATTCAACTGTTGTTGCCTAGCAAGCAAGCCTTCCCCAAACCCACTGGCTTAAAACAACCACTCTAGCTCTCAATCTGCAGGTTGCCAGTTTAGGCTGGGTTCAGCGGGGCAGTTCTTCTGCTCTCTGCTGGACTCATTCCTGTGTCTGCACACAGGGTGTGTAGCTTTGGGTATGCTGCTTTACTGAGGGTGGCCATGCTCTCCCATATCTTTGAGCCTGCAACTGGTAGGCTAATTTGGGTTCTTTTAGAAGCAAACGCCAGGACAGGATTAAAGGTGCAAGGATTTTATTAACGCTTGTGTTAGAGAAACCGAGAAGGAAGCCAGGTTAGGCTGGGAGAGTTACGGGACCACAATGCAAGTTTGACCCAAAATAAAGGAGTCAAGGAGGGGCGGATGAGAAAAACATCCTAGGCTGCCATGCAGTACAAGAAAGTCTTGGCACTCTGCAGGGGAGCCCCTTAGCCAAAGCTGGCCATCAGGTACACGAGTATTACTTAGTATCTCTGCCTCACAAAGTCGTTGGCTGGGAAGAGCCTGAAGGAGGCACGGCTTTAGCAGAAATGCCACATGGATTTCATAACGCAGTAGCTGGGACCCTGGGTCAGTTATGCTCCCTGTATTTGGAGGTCTGTGAGGTGCATTTTCACAGTTCCAGAGCCAGGATGGCTGGTTTTCACTTTGTTCTCTGACAAACTAGGTTGAGCTTGTTCATATGGTAGCTAGGCAGTGTTCCAAGAGAGCAACAGAAGTTTGTGATGCCTCTCAAGGTGTAAGCTCAGAGCTGGTGAACAATCACCTCCAATGCATTCTACTGGCCAAAACAGACCGCAAGGCCAGATCAGATTCAAGAAGTGAGTAAAGAGACTCCCTCTCTTGGAAGGAGCTGCAAAGTCATATTACAAAGGGTATGGAAGCAGAAAGAAGTAGAGAATTATTGCCATATTTGCAATCAAGCAAAAGTGACTGACTTTTTTGTTTTGTTTTGGGGAAGATCAGTCCTGAGCTAACATCTGCCACCAATCCTCTTCTTTTTGCTGAGGAAGACTGGCCCTGACCTAACATCCGCGCCCATCTTCCTCTTGTTTATATCTGGGACACCTTCCACAGCATGGCTTGACAAGTGGTACCATGTCCAAACCCAGGATCCGAACCAGCGAACCCCGGGCCACTGAAGCAGAACGTGCAAACTTAACCACTGCACCACCAGGCCGGCCCCAAAAGTGACTGACTTTTTTGAAAATATCTTTAAATTTTTGTGGATGCTGTTCCTGTCACCTGGATGGACAGAGCAATCCTTCCCATGCAGAGCCATTTCTTTTGGGATCTCAACTTCAATGTTTAGCAGCATGTGTGGTCCACTGCTTTCAGTATCAAGGATGGTCTACACAGCAAGGCAAGAAGGACAACTGCCTTTGATCTTCTCTATGCTTAATAACCACTCTGTCCAACTGTAGCTGTCACCCAGATAATCATCTTAACTTCTATTATTATTATAACCTCATAATTAGTCAATTTAATGAAATATTCAGGATTAGCAACCTGGGTTATAAGAGGGCTACATATGATAGGTTTACTTAAAGGTGCCAGGACCCCAATCCACCTAGACCTTATCAGGTAAATAAGGATAAAAATTTTATTGAATTTCTACTCTTTTGAGGAATAGAATTTTTTAATTCTATATGGGATGCTTCTAACCAATTCTGAGTTCACTTTGTGAAATATCTGGTCTGGACCTCCATTTCCCAGTTTATTGCTGTGCAATTAGCTGCATGGGCTACTTCTGCCTTGACTTTTAGAGTCAAAGGTCAAAACTCTACAAGGAAGATGAATGCTATCATTTTTGTCATCTTTCAGGAGCTATACAATAATAATTTGGGGGGAGGATATTGTCCCTGCTCAAAATCATCCCCTCAGTTGACAGCCCGACATAGGCGATGTGGCGTTCTGTTCTTGCGTATGCCTTTGATAAGGTCTTCGTTTTCTACAATAAGATGTTAATCTAAGCCTGAGTTTGGGTGATTATAAAAATTTTGAATCTGAACTTAACTAGTAAGGCAGACTATCCTCTGGGTAACGTCAGCAGGGCTACTGTAGGCTCCTACAATATTTTTGTGCAAAATATAAAACAGCACCCCTTCCTCTAGGCAGACCCAACCCCATGCCCAGGCACAGAGCCTGGTGAGCAGGGCACGAGCCAGCTATCAGCTCCCTTCGGCCCCCTCAGATGGGCTCACTTGTGTACGTGGTGAACTACCTAAGCAATCACATGCATAAGAAGAAAAACCAGACTCTCATTTGAAAAGACCATAGTGCAGGAAGTGAATTAGAAGGAGGCCCGGGTAGATTCAGGTCAGACAGCTGGCATAGCATCTCTTAGTCACCCCATTTAACTCAAGAGAATTCCAGACCTCTGAGATTAAGTAAGCTACCCTAGCTAAAAGGAGCAGGGCTGGAATTCAACCAGACGTTCTGATTCCAGAGCTCAAATTTTTGTTACATTTACTAAAAGGATAGTGATGAATATTTTTACCACAAAGGACCCACTGAGGAAAGTTTCTCTGATCTTAACATCAGGAATTCTTGGGCTTCTCCTCAAGAACTGACTTGCTTACACCTCATGGCGGCCTGCTTTTAGAATCTGTACAGGGCTTTGTGGCATGCATTTTGTGAACCTAATTTATTCTTTATCCCTGTTTTTATTTCCATCATTTCTCTTTCTTATTTTCATTTATTTTGTCTTGGTATAATGTAAGCCAATCCTTGCTATAATGTGAATCCTAGGAGGTTCCAAATAGTTTTTGTTTTATTCTTTAATCATGTCATAAATATAAAGTGACCCATTTAAGATACTTCCTGGTTGTAGGAACTGTGTAGAAAGTAAAATGAGAGTCCCATATTTCATGCCAGGGACCATAATAATCACTTGAGTGTTTGTTAAAACCCAAATTCCCAGACTCACGCCTGGGGGTTCTAATTCAGTAGGTCTCAGTTGAGCCCTAGGAATCTGTATATTTATCAGTTATCTTGGGGATTCTTATGCAGAAAAGCCCATTAAGAAACACTAACCTAGAGAATCTTGACTTTCTTCCCCCCAAATGGCTCCCTCTTTGGCTATGCCCCACGTTGAAAAAAGTGAAGGGTAATATCTTGGATTTGAGTCATCCATTTATTCAACAAATATGCAGTCACTACCTGCTACGTTCCAGGCACTCCACTAGACAGCTCAGAGAAATAGGATGAATCTTTCTGTTTAGAATCTTATTAGCTTCATAGAAGAGTAAAAAATGTAAACAAACCGCTGTTACAAAGTTACTTAAGAAAAGTCATTCCACTGAAGTACACTGTATGCAGTTTTCACAAAGAGTTTAAAAGACCAGCATCAGATAAAACCTCATTTTGCAAACGGATCTGCAAGGACCCATTTTTTCCCCTGACTTTCAGATTTTATATTTAAACAATAACAACACACACAAGGCACTCATTTTGAAGATATTGGATTAAAAATTTCTGAACATATTTATCCCGTAGCACCCACCAGCCCGCCACATCCTCCCTTCAGTTCTGGCGGGATGCAGGGCCCC